CGTAGTTATGTGTGTGATATTTACCTAGCCAGGGACCGTAGATTGTTCAGGGGTGGAGGCGTTTGTGATGTGTGTGTGTGTGTCTGTGTGTGTGCGTGCGTGCGTGTGTGTGTGTGTGCGTGCGTGTGTGTGTGCGTGCGTGTGTGCGCGCGCGTGTGTGTGCGTGCGTGCGTGCGTGCGTGCGTGCGTGCGTGCGTGCGTGCGTGTACATTTGTAAGCGACTGAGGTACTAGAGGTAATCGATGTATGCTCATCCCTACAGAGACAAGACTACCTGTTCAGAGAACTACTAGCTCTGGAACACCAGTTCAGCAATGTGCGACTGAGTCGTCACCGGCTGAGCACAATCTGGGGCGGCGCCAGTCTACTGACAATGCTCCTGCAGTGCATGAGTGACCTTCTCCTCTTAGACTGGCCCTGGGATTATTTCATCAACCTCAGTGAATCCGACTTTCCGATAAAGTAAGTGTGGATCCGGGGTTAATGATGACAAATTTGTAATTATTAACCCCTGGTGTGGATGTCATGGGGTGAGGGCAGGATGGGGACGTATCAACCCCCACCTCACCTCTCAGAGAGGCATACGGTGGGAAATTTACGGTCGTGTCATGCTTCTAGCTTTTTCTTTTCCATCACCCACCCACCTGGGGAGGCCAGGTGATTGCGTGTCTTATGGGTGCCGTGCCACCACCACCCCCCACCCACCCACATTCCCACCCCTCAGAGCCAGACGTTTGTTGTTGGCGTAGCGTGTGTCTCCATCTATAACTCCCTCCCGCCACCCACCAGCCTGACAGGGCCAAATAGTCCTGAACCTTAGGTGTGCCATGCGTCATACACGTTCATCCACCCACCCACTCCTCAGAGCCAGGTGCCCATTGTCAGAAACAAGCTTAGTCTTAAAGTGATTACGTCACCGTAAATAGTAAAAGTAAAAAATGCAAGTAATTTACTTTTTATTGTTAAATTCCTGCATTATACTTCCTATTTTACTATATTGTTCGATGTAAACATACAGTCGTGACTCATACATAGTCCATAGCAAGCAATTAATGTCAGGATCATATTTATCAACTCGTCCAGGTTTTTTGGATTTTTAACTAGTTGAGAAACAATCTTATCGGGTAAGAATTTGACGATACATTTAGTCCCCGTTAGTACTTACTTTTAATGTAAAAAAAATGACAATTTTTTGTTACAAATATACACCATAGAAAATTCGTGACGTAGTTAATTTAAACATACGTCTTGACATGAACAATACATTAGTCGTGAGTGTTATCTGGCGTTTTTACGGATTTTACGGCGTTTTTAGCGTTAACATTAGTCGTAACTCTACGCTGTTTCTGACAACGGTCCCCTGATGATTGTAGGGTTTCACAATGTGTCATGTATCCACCTTCCTCCCTCCTCCCTCCTCCCTCCTCCCTCCTCCCTCCTCTTTCTTCCCTCCCTCCTCCCTCCTCCCTCCTCTCTGTCCTTCCTCCCAGCTCCCTCCTCTATCCTCCCTCCCCCCTCCCTCCTCCCTCCTCCCATCTTCTCATCCCGCCTCCCTCCTCCATCCTCCCTCCTCCCTCTGTCCCTCCTCCCTCCCTTCTCCATCCTCCCTCTTCCATCCTCCCTCCTCCCTCCTGCCACTCTTCCCTCTCTCCTCCCACCTCCCGCTTCCGTCCTCCCTCCCCGGTCTGCATTTAGAGAGACTGTTCCCCCTCTCTCTGCATGACATGACGTGCAATGTGCAATGGATGCACCATATGTGCCCCGGAAATAAATTAATCCGCATTTGCATCGTAAATTTTACGACAACGAAAACGTTCGGCATTTAACGTCGTTTTCTCCGGATCGATTCATCAGCGTCTCGCTTAATTTTGCGCGGCGCGTTATGCAAATTACGCTATGCAGAAATTCGGAACGCGTCGTTCTTCTGCTAGCCGTCTAAAGCAAGATGAATCATTGCACATTGTTTTTTTTTTTTCTGGAGGAAAATCATTTTGAAATCTTTGCGGTTCCTTTTCGGTGATGCATTATGATCAGTGCGCTCACATCTATCAAACGCTACATCTTTTGAAATCCTCGGAACCTGATAGCCATGGGGGGTTGGCACGAGACACATTGCATCGAGTTTTTGCGTGTCAGTTGTGTTGGGTTTCTTCCTTCAGTCAATCTTATATATATGTGATTATATATGTATATCAGTGCGCCGTGCGTTGCGTGTGCGCGTGCGCGTGCGCGTGCGCGCTTGTTGCCGTTACGTTTGTGTGTGTCTGTGTGTGTGCGTGCGTGCGTTCGTGTGCGTGTAGGCAAACTTGTATTCACAATGCTCCAAGTAGAATGGCCACCTATATCTGCATAGGAAACCTTTGACGATAGCCACGAGTGACTCTATATACATATTTGATTGGTATACTTATAGAACTCCACAGCGTCCCTGCCTCTGTCAACCAATGCCAAGGAGAGGCGGCTTGTTTTCATAGCTGTTTAATAGAAAACACGTGTTGAAGTGTTTGACTGGCTTAGAAGAAAGCAGCAGAGGCAGCAAAAACCGAGATGATGTCGAAACGATCGTTAACTTGCCTTCTAAGATCGCGCGCGGAATTAAAATGCTTCGCCGTCTATGATTGACTCCTGATGCGAGAAACTAACTGTAGGCCAAGTTCCAAACGCTGACTCTCACACTCACTGATGAACTCTTTGAACGCTAACGACTTCCCTGTTTCTCTTTTGCGGCCGAACTTAACGACCTCCCCTGTTTTCGCTTTTACGACAGAACTTACGACCTCCTTGTTTCTCTTTTACGACAGATACTAACGAGCCTCTCCTGTTTCTGTTTTTAGACAGAACTAACGACCTCCCTGTTTCGCTTTTACGGGACAGACGAACGACCTTTCCTGTTTCTTTTTTAACGACAGAACTAGAACGACTCCTTCCTGTTTCTCTTTTTGCGCAGAAACTAACGACCTCTCTGATGTCTCTTTTGCGACAGAACTAACGACCTCCCTGTGTCTCTTTTGCGACAGAACTAACGACCTCCCTGTTTCTCTTTTGCGACAGAACTAACGACCTCCCTGTTTCTCTTTTGCGACAGAACTAACGCACTCCCTGTTTCTTCTTTTACGGGAAGAACTACGAACTCTCTGTGGTCTCGTGTTGTTACGGGACACAACTACGACCTCTCTGTGTCTCTTTTGCACCGCAGAACTAACGACCTCCCTGTTTCTCTTTTTGCCGGACAGAACTAGCGAGCCTCCCTGTTTCTCTTTTGCCTCTTATGCGACAGAACTAACGACCTCCCTGTTTCTCTTTTACGAGAAGAACTAACGACCTCCCTGTTTCTGTTTTACGACAGAACTAACGACCTCCCTGTTTCTCTTTTGCGACAGAACTAACGACCTCCCTGTTTCTCTTTTGCGACAGAACTAACGACCTCCCTGTTTCTGTTTTACAACAGAACTAACGACCTTCGTGTTCCTCTTTTGCGACAGAACAAACGAGGAGCTGACAGCGTATCTTGCGGCGAACAAGGGCAAGAACTTTGTGAAGTCGCACGGCCGCGACACACTCAAGTAAGTCTCCCTGTCTGTCGGCTGCTTTGTCGAGCGGCGTCGACCAATCACGGCCCGTCTCACAGCTCGCTCCTTGGCGAAGTTTTTAAAATATTTTTTGTTGTTTGTGAGTTAAACTTCTGTCTGACCCACTGTCGCCTGCCTCTATGGTAGCAGGCGTGAATATTATGACAAATTTTTGTCGTTATTCTTCCCTG